AATATCAAAAGAGGGACGTACAACAGACTATCAGTCGCGGTGCATGGGAAAACCCACCCCCTCCAATAATAATAATAATAATAATAATAAGGGGTCGGCCATAAAAACCGGCCCCCCCCACTGCGACCTTCAAAGATCTATTGTGCTTAATTAAATAACTAACTCCAAGCAGTAGAATCTTTCCTGAGAAGCTAAAAGTTGCTGAGCTAATCAAGAAATCTCCCAACTTTTATGAAAGCCACAGGTTCATTATAGTATTCACACAAACACATCACTGGACCCAATTCTGCACCACATGACTCCAGTCCACTCTCTCCCACCCTGTTTATTTAAGATCAATTTTAATATGTGATCCATGCCTATATCTTTAAAATGGTCTCTCTCTAACCAAAGTTTCACTGGATGCGCCTGTGGTACACTGGTCTTACATACCTGGAGGTTCGTGAGGATGATCATGAAGGTCAGGAAACCAAAGGCGATGTCCCTCGACGTGATCTGGTACTCATTATCATCATGATAATGGCCATGATCGTGGGGTCTGCAATGAAAGCCCCCAACAGAGGTTATGGCTTGCAGTCTTCTGTGTTTCAAAAGCATGTAGACTGGTAGATGAGTACCAACGCTTCGGAGGAAAGCACTGCCTTCATCTTCAGGGTAAAAAACGAAGGCAACATGCTCCTCTCAAACGTTGGTGCTCACTCACCTACCAGACTACACGGTTTCACAGCCCATTACACGAATCTACTCTGTCACGAGAGACTTCAGATTTCAATAAGCTCTACTGTACAAGTCATATTTGAAATCTCTCTTCATGGTGTTTAATCATTTAAAGTAAACTGCACCACCTGGTTTAACATGAAGAAATTCAGAATTTTAGTCACACAATGTATTCATATGCTCGTAACAAATAACAATTATTTCTCTAAACAGCATTAACAGATTGGTCTTTGCAATATGGACGGAGTATGCTTTCTGTGACGTAGCAACTGAATTTATAAATATTACTTAGTTGACTTTTAGGCTTCAACCATTTCCTAATGTTTAACCGTCTTTACTTTGCAACACTTCACTTTCTAACATACACTTAACAAAAGGGAAAACTGGCAGTGCCTGGGAACCTTAAAAAAAGAAACAATTTCAGTTCCTCCTCACCTTCAAATGCAGTCTCTCTCACTTCAACCCCTCTATTTTCTCTTCTTTATCATTTTCGCTCTTCAAAACATTAATATATGGGCAAATAATTTATATGTTTTATAATTAACTTTGCAGGGGACAGAAACATATACTAATTATGCTACATTCTTTTTATGCGCTTACCCATGATCCTCTACAACATGAAAGTGGTCATGGTGGCCTCCGTGATCATATGACCCTCCACTGAAATGCTCGTACCCGGAACCCCCATTTACTCCTGCAAGCAGAGGACAGTTCAGCAGTTTTGGACTCAGGAAACGTACTAACTCTTTGAATGCTACTCATTAAATATGTTCCCTAAGGCTGGGGCCACACGAGCGCACAAAATGCGTCCGTTGTAACGAACGTACTTTATGACGGACGTTGCTGAGGACACCACATAGTTGCAGAATGCGGTGCTTAGTTTTCTGTCTGCAATGGAGCCAGAAGAAAGCGTAGCATTCGCCTCTCTTGTTTATTTCTACAACAAAGGCACAGTCCAGATTTATTTTAAGAAAATCAGTGAAAAACAAATTGGGAAATTTTGGCTTTGAACCTCACATGGTGGTAACCATGAAGACCACTATCTGGCAGAAGTTTACAGGTGTTTCATAGCGACGTAATGCCTCCTTCTTCAGGGTCAAAAATCACCTATGCAAGCAACAAGCAAACAATAAATTTCCCTTGTTCCTGCTTACACCCACAGCTTACTCTTGGGCCCTGAACCCTGGGGCTGTATGTTCATATTTAACACGTGGACAGCCAACGGACAGCCTGCCCATATTCAAATGTTTGCTCGCGACGTTTCGTTCGTGCCCGTTACGTGTCTGAAGCCTGAACAGAATCGGCCGGAACATCAGTTCCAAGTAAGGCACGATCAGCAGGACAGTCACATGTGACTTGCGGGTTTACATGGCAGCGAAGGTGCATATTGTCACGATTTAGTTGTGTGACTATAGACGGGGTTTGGATTAGGAATGGATTGGACTTACTGACCACTTATACACACGACTAGGAACACCTACAAAGCTAACCTTCATCTCCACATTTTACAAATCACTAAAGCACACGCTTTCAGTAGTCGTCTCCTGGTAACGGGTCTTAACAATTGAGATTCTCCAGCTTCTGTACTCATGTCGTTACTGTCCGGCGAAAATCCCGCAACTGAACTCTCAACTTAATTACAGCGCCCTCTCTTCTCAACTTCTCTTGCAGAACTCAAAAGACTTATTACTCCAGATGTCCTGGTTAGAACTTCTCGGCACGGACCACATAGAAAACGCCGTGCGTATTCGTTGTCGCGGGGCCGTGTTTACCGAGCTGTTGTCCAGAAACGGCCGTTGTTAATTCGCCTATATCGTAATTATTGCATAGCAACGGCTGTACACGGTACAATATTGTGATATTCTGCGTAATGACGTCGTATAGTCTGGTTATGAGGGTATTATCGTTTCGAAGGATCATATTGCCTCAGACCGAAGACTGAAGACTGCGCAGTCCCATAGCCCAGAAGACGAAACACAGTCTGATTCACGACAATCTTTATTTTATTTTGGGGGGCACTTCACGACGCTGCCCAGTAGCTAGACTGTATAGCATCGGACTGTGGGAAGACAGATGAAATGGAAAGCATTGCAAAGGATTTGGAAGAAAAAGTTGTAGCCAAATCGAGGTACCATCCCTGAATTTGCCTGGAAGAACTGACTTAATAATGTGGTGTATAGATCTGCTGCCAGGTAAAGATCGCGAAAAAACAAAGCGATTTTTTCACATATTTATTATATACAATCTGCAATAAATTTATGTATTCAATAAGTATTGGCTCGTGAATGAGTTATGCCGTTGCTGGGCAGCAGCCAGCGCGCCAATGGACTGACTTAGTAGTGATCACATGGGAACCCCAATAGTCCACGTGCAACAATCGCAAGATTGTTGGAGGCGGTGTTTCTTTGCGTGGTCCGTGTCTTGAAGACGACTGGCGCGAGGTTAAGGACTATAACTGCCAAGTGTTGAGGTGAAAAAACTACTGGCCGTGGGTGTCAGGGGCTAGACGTCAAGACGGACTAACGGTAAACAGCCAGTCGTAAAGTAACTTTGACTCTAACGCTGACCCAGTCAGTTGAGTTCTGTACGGGAGGTTGTTAAGAAAAGAGTTAGTTGTGTAATTCAGTGAGACTGTTACAGTTCCTGTGTTAAAATCCGTTGCAAGGATACGGCTAGTAGAGACTGTAACAGACTGAGGACACTAGTCTGTGTGTCGGTGGTTTGTAAAGTGTAATTACGAGTCGTGTGTTAACGTGGTCAGTAAATCCAAGATCCAATCCAAAACCGGGTCTACAGTCACATACACTATGTGACAATACCTTGAGGAAGCTCAGTGAGGACAGCTAATGTGCCGACCGAGATTCAAACCAAGCACCTCCATAATACAAGAGCAGAGCGTCATCGCTGCGCTGGATAAGAGCCTCCATCTCCACACCGTGCAACCTGACAGACAGATACCAAGACATTGGAAGAAGCACAGGAGCGCGGCCTCGCTCTCTGTACCAGATCCATACCTGAGTATGTGTAGGCATAATCAGAAGACCCCAAGGTCTTAAGGTCGTGGTGTGCCGGTGATCCGTTGTACGAGTGGGGCGGCATATTGGTGCGAACCGCAGGACGGCGGTCCTGCTCCACATCTGGGGGTGGTTCCATAGTGGCGACATCTGTTGACAAGAACAAAACACATTAACAACTAATAGTAACCAGTGTACCGGGTAATGACTGGATCTTCAGGCCATTTCAGACTTACGTCATATCCGGGCTCGCGATCTTAACCCTATAAAAACTGAGTTACGAGTTAGAGTTACTTAACGACTGGCGGTTTACCGCCAATCAGTCCATCTTGGCGCCAAACCCCTTAAGACCCACGACCACTGTTTTTTTTCAACTGAACACTTACAATTATACTTCTTATGTAGCATCCTCTCTGACGAGATGATGGGTCTGTCGTTTACAATTGCTGCTGGTCCTCGACAGCGTAGTCATTCCCGGGTCGGAGTCCCACGAGACTCATGACCATATTTTACTGTCTCAGATTCGAGATTCCCCCAACCTGGAGGGCCAGGTCCCCGTAATTACACCCCTGTAAACAGGGTGGCCCGCCGGTCACGGTAGCCGAGCGGTCTAAGGCGTGCACTGTCTTCGCTCGCTCGGAAGCCGGGATCGTGGGTTCGAATTCCACTCAGAACATGGATGTTTGTGTTCGTTTTCCTGTGTTTGTGTACAGGTAGAGGCTTTGCGACGAGCTGATCACCCGCCCAAGGAGTCCTACAGTATGTCTAAGATCTAGAAAAACCGAAGTGAACGGAGAAGTTCATGGAGGTAGGCCTAGGCCCACTGGGGCTGTAGTGCCAAGGAAAACAACAGGGTGACGCACTACAAAGAACAACCGGTTAATGCTGCTCAGGGAAATACCTGCTGTTTATGGCGAGAACTGTATGAAACACAGGTACACTCTGTGGACAGAAAGTAGAGTCTTATTATGTTAAAGCAGATGGTACTCGTACATATAATAACCACTGGGTGTTAACGAGTTGATACAACGACACTTCGAAATTGACATCCGACATCCTGCGCCAGATATGCGATAGCGGAGCGCGACTCGATACTGCCGCCGCCATCTTGAATGCTCAGAACTGCGTTTGCCAGCAATACTGTGACACCTGCCCTGCTTTAATTAAACAGACACAATTTGCGTACTTACATGCGTCATAAAGAAACAGCAAGAAAATATTTATGTTTGAGGCAGAACTTGCTACGCTCTCACGTGCAGAAGACAATATATCGATAGGGGCCGTATCGATATCATTAGGCTTCAATCGCTCGACGGCTGGCAATGATTTCTAAAGACAGATGGTTCTTAAACTATTGATCTGCAACCTAAATAAGTCTTGTTTCATATTTCTTCCAAGATCCTGAAGTTTCTCAATTTATAAAACACAAGTTCACGGGGAAAATGGCATTCAGCGTCATAGCTCGGAAACGGCCTACACCACAAAGAGGTCGGTAATGCAGCTACCTTCCATCAGACAAATGATGAAGCAAATTTCGCTAAAGCGTAGCACAAAATTTGGTTCCTAAACCGTACAGGTATTAACTCCATCTGCTTGACTGCACGCATGGCTTACTCTTCGACCCTGAAGAAAGGGGCGGTATGTTCCTCTTACACGTCAGGAAACGTTTATCAGTCTACACGGCGCCACGTCCCGGAAAACAGGATCCAGTCTTTGCCACGTGGCGTCAGATCTTCAACCTCGCGGTGCACGAAAACAAAGCTTTAGCGAGATGGAAGGTCGCTTTCCTTGTCGTGCCTAGCCTTGCCGTCGGGGGCAAACATTATCCGCGCCTGACAGCCACAAATCCGGTTACGTCCTGCTGCTGTTGCAGGCGGAGGTCGCGAAATTGAAGTGTAATTAAGTTACTAGCGAGTGCTCACAAATCCTCTGCTTTTCCTTGCGCACACAATGGTCAGTGGCTTGGGCACCTCCAGGGTGTTGTGAAAGGGTTGAGGGCAAGCGGAGCCCTGCTTACTAACTGCTTCACGCTGGTTTCTTCTTTGACTTACTCTTAGACCCTGAAGATGGTGGCGACATGTTCCTCCAAAAAGTCGGTTGACCTTCAGTGGACTACACGGCGTTATAATAATTAGAAGCGTTTATTTTAATTACTGTTCTACCCTATACTGCGACCAATAAGAAGTCTTGAACGGCCTACATGTAAGTTAGCATATTTTCTGACAGCCCCTCCCCCATGGAAAACTCCCTAGTCCTCTTTGTAATGAATCCTGACGGCGCTCATGTTCCGCATTTTCTCACCTGAAGACGGAAACAGATCCAGTTTCCGAAAGTTGTGTTCTGATCGGAATGTCAGACGAAGGACGAAGTCCAAACTCCGCCTTTTAATGAAACCGAAGGCTCATTGCCGTGTTAACAAAAGCACGTCACCAGACACTCCTGTCCTGGGTAAATGTAAAAGTAGCCGGAAGAACCTGGCACCTTATCAACGTCACGGGTGATTCAGCGTCGAATCAAAAGGCAACCGCGAACAAAAATCCAATAAGTGACAAACGATTGTGTAGCATGTCCAGTTCTAGAAGTGATTAAGTAACGTTAATTACGTGGGAGAAGAAGAATCAAAACTGACCAAAAAATGAAGGACTCACATATGTATCTCCTGATCTGATATGGGGCACCCGGTAGCGTAGTTGGTGGCTGGTTCGATTTCCGATGGGGTCACTGAATTTTTCAATTGAACTAATCCTTCCAGTCGCACTATGACCCTGGGTTCGACTCAGCCTCTAACGAAAATAAGTACCAGGTATCTTCCTGGGGATAAAGGGCGGCCAGCGGGTAAGGCTGACATCACCGCCATCTGTGAGCTGATTGTCTAGATAATGTGGGAGCCTCGACGTCTCATAACCTTATGAGCCTCCGCGTGGTGCTACATGGATAGCTTGTAGGAAAATGAGAAGTTTGGAGCATTATTGAGATGGATGAGACACGGGTGGCCATGAGACTTACTGAGTCTGAGGCGGAAAGGGGAAGGGAAGCAGTAGGGCCTAGGCTGAGGTGGCTGGGAGATGCAGACAATGATTTATACAAGGGCCGAATCTGAAGAGGTGGAGATAAAACATAAATAATAAAGAACGGGCACATGTCGTGAAGGAGAACCGCACGGACAATCAGTAAACACCTAAGAAAAGAAGAAAGTGGATGACGTCGTCTGTCTAATAACACATTTCTCATGTTACTTTCTGCCTTCAGCATACAACCGCATGGAAGAAGGGTCGTACCATAGCTCAGGCCGTTAGTCTCCAGCTTTTCAGAGGTGGCCCGGGTTCGAGACCTGGTCAGGTCATGTAGGATTTGTGGAAAAAGTGGCAAGGGGCGGGTTGCCAATTCTTATTCCACCAACTTCTCCACAGTAATTAACCATCCTCTCACTGACGCTGTATATTCTCGACACTCAGAGCGTCGTTAAATAGCCCGGTTACTTACGGAAGAGGAGGGGGACTCCTGCATCGGTTCCCTTCATACACTAAACACAGAATGCAGAGACTCTCTGCTGTGTATGTGACCAATCAGGTCACTTTCTGATTATAACATACCGTCAAATACATTTTAGACACAGTAGAGGAAAGGGACTCAAGAAAACCAAAAACAGAACTCAAGCAGAATAGCCGGCCCGCAGGCCGAATGCGAACCAAACCAGTAAAACTGTGACCTTGAATACAGACCCTGCGACTTCTCGTCGGACGCCGCGACGCACAGCACAGAGAGCACGAAGACGGCGCCGGTAAGACACATCCCGCACACAATGGCAACTGACTGTCCGACCGCACGGAGATGTGACCCCTTATGAACTCTCCCCTCCCGCTGGGGGACACGCTCTGTACCCTGCTTAACCCAGCGTCATTACAGTCGGTTGATACGCACTCCGCAAGTGTAGAACCATATGGGAAGATGAAGACGTATGTTGGATGGTGAGGACCAGTGCCCGGATTTTGATGACATGTCATCTTTTTTTTCTTGTATCCTATGCGATGCTCTTAAATATATAAATCTTGGATATGAGCTGCTGGTTACAGAAATGTAAATTTTATAGTTAATTCTTTGTCATCTTTTGTCATTTTTAGGTTTAAGGTCATTTTTTCACTTTGGGGGTAATTTTTTGGTAAATTTTTGGACTTTTAAGGGTATTTCTTGTCATTTTTGGCCATTTTAGGGAATTTTTTCTTCATATGTTTTCTGAAATGTGAATAACATGGAAGCGAAATGTTCTTTCTTTTCTCCTTTAGGTCATTTTTCTGGATTTTTTCGGTCATTTTATAGGTCATTTTTTAAATATTTTCAGGTCATTAAAATCCGGGCCCCTTGTGATGACTATATGAAGCCGTGTAGTCCGGTACAAGTTGACAGACGTTTCGATTTCTTTGCTTGCTTCTTGCTTGGCTTATTCTTTGAACCTGAAGATGGAGCCAGCAGGTTCCTCCGAAACGTCATTACACTTCTACCGCCATCATATTCCAGACAAAAACGGTCTTCTTGTATTTAGTATCTGTCGTGTATGTAACGATACTCTCAGTATGCAGAATATATTGCGCCGAATGTATGGATGATGGCAAATAATGAACTGCAAGGATAAGGAAGGAAGCGCCCTAAACATAATTTTAAGGTACGACTCCGACATTTTCCAGGAGAGACCAGGATAGTTGCGAAAAACCCAAATATTGCATATGTCAGTTCTTGTTACTTCCGATGTTAGGGTAACACAAAATATTTCCCCTTATTATTCGTCATCATCACTGGCACGACAGCCCTTTGTGAGCCCTGGCCTTCCTCGGGATTGCTTGCCATTCTTCTCCATCCGATGCTACGTTCCTCCAGTTCTTTACACCCAAAATTCTTATGTCCTGCCACACACATTCTTCCCATCTTAATCTTGGTCTTCCCACTCTCNTACTTCACATTACTTCATTTGATTCATTCAACTCCGCCTAAGGTCTCTGTACTTGCAACAGCTTTCCTAACCCTCTTTCTAAAAGTGTTTAATTTACAGGGCAAAGACGCTAGTATGCCTGCAGGTAAACTGTTCCAATCTTTTGTGGTCCTATTTACAAAAGAACATTTGCCAACATCAGTTCTTTGTTTCCTGCTTCTGACTTTCCAAATATGATCGTCTCTGTTCAGGTAGCATGGTTTAAGCAGGCTATCCCCTATCGGTTTCCAAGCCGGTCTCCTGGTGTATGCCGTGTAGAGGGCGCACAGACGCGCTATCAGTCTACGCGGTGCCTAAGTTTCCCAACCAGATACATCTGTAGGATCTGCAAATTTAGCTGCTCTTCTTTGTACCCGATTTAAAGCGCTTGCCTGCATTCTCTGTATGGGCCCCAACATACCGAACCTTATTCAAGTATCGGTCTCACTAATGACGTATAAGCTAGACGTTTCAATAAAAATTTGTAGCTATTCAGGTACTGGGCAACCTTCTGAGTAAATCATCTGTACTATCGCGCACTTTTCTTATTCCTTCAATCTCCAGGGATCACTGAACCTGTAATTAACAACAGAATAGAGGGAAGCGGGTTTAGCAGGCCTGGCTTCGAGACAGAGGTGTAACCGGTAAGCTCTCAGACTGTCCTCTCGTTCCAAAGTAGGCTGCTGTAAGTTGAACAGAGTATCGCGTCAATTAAAGGGAAGAGCGGCTCCATTTCGCTCCACTTGCCGCTAAGTGGAGGCTGGAACAGACGAACACATAATGAGGGGAATTACCTGCAATCAAACGGTGGTTCCGGCTTCGAATCCTATAATATGAATGTAATTGCGTCAGCGTGACCTGGTGAACAACAGCTCTTCACCTTGACGACGGAACAGACCTAAGACCTAAATGATAACCACATTATAGCTCAGGTGGTTAGTCATCGGCTTCCCACCGCGGAAGCCCGGTTTCGAGCTCATGTCAAGTCATGCGGGATTTGTGGTGGACAAAGTGGCACTGGGATAATTTTTCTCCGAGCTAATTCTCATTCCACTGACGGCTCCATATTCATCATCATCTATCATCTGCAGCTGGTACAGTAGGCCAAATAGTGGCCGACACACCAAGTGGGCTGTCTCACCCCACCCCAAGATATTTAAAAAATAAAAAACTAACTGAACTCCATGTGCTACAGCTACGAGGATGCGTCGTCGTCTGTGACTGATGTATCATCATTAAAAAGTCACTAGATTCTGTTTATCACCATACTTCTGGTAATTCATTCGTAGGTCGGAAATTCAAACATACAGGACTTTGTGCAAGTTTCCCTACACGAGGTATGACTGAATCCATACCTCCGCTGCGGCATACAACTTCATAACGTGATGCTTAATTAAGCACTCTGGCAACTTTAACCTTTTTATCTTGGGCAGAAACTCTACACAGGAAACATGTAGCTTTAGGACTCTGCGCGCGGTACGGCCCACAAAGAACGCCTCATTTTATTTACTCCCTGACCAACCCTTGCGAGGCCAGCGTCGCCACGCCCCGCTGGAGTATGACAGGTCAACGACCTTCCAGTCACTGTTCCGTCCTGGCGCACGTACATACACATGCAATAAATACAAGGCGGTCTTTCGCTTACAGCAGTTTGCTCATATGTTTGTGATTTATTTAACGACAGCCTCTGTGATCTACTGGTCAGAGTTCCTGGCTATGGATCCAGATGTCCCGGGTTCGATTCCCTGGGCTACCATATTTTCTGAGAAGTAGTGGGTCTGGAACGGGGTCTAATCAGCCCCTTGAGGTTAACTGAGGAGCTACTTGAATGGAAGAAAAGCGGCTCTGGTCTAGAAAACCGAGGTTAACGGCAGTGGGAATCCGTTGCGCTGACCACATGACATCCTCTGTCCGCTAAAGTTGGCACTAACTTCGCCGACAAGCGGCGGTCGCTCGGTCGGTACAGTTCGCTTGTGGACTACAGGCCACGGAATTCTTCGTTTTTTTTACATGTATTTTTTATTGCTAGTGGGGCGGGACTAAGTCCCTTGTACTGCGGTCACTTCTGGCCTATTGTACCAGCCCAAGATGATAGGTGAGGGTGATTGTGGAGGAATTGGTGGGATGAAGATTGCCAGGGGAAACCGAAGTACTCGGAGAAAACCCGCCACCGCGCCACTTTGTAACCCGGGCCGCCGCGGTGGGAAGCCAGCGACTAACCGCTTGAGCTATGGCGCGGCCAATTCTTTGCATGTAACTACATAGCATTGAACAGTACGACGCTAAACAAATGTTGAAGGAAGCGGTTGTGACCTAATCGAGGTATTACACACTCATTTGAGGAAAACCACCAGAAATATCAGTCACGATAGCCGGTGTCTCGACCAAGATTGGAACCGAGGACCTCCCGAATATGTATCATTTGTTTTACCGTTATGCCAACCCATCTGGTTGAATTCACACTGAGTTTTACCGCGACCTGCACGTCATGCCTTCATTTCTTCCGCTTGGTGCAAAAAAAAATGTCACAATTTTAGATGGAACATTCCTGGTGGACAGACAAGAGACAGGCAAGTAATTATTACTGCCAGGAAAAGCGACCACTTGAGGTGTAGGTCGATATTGCCAATATTCAGTTCGGGTCCGCTGATGTCAGCAGTGTGATTGGTCGGCCCGTGGGCGCAGGCAATGTCCGCCCACGACGCGTAACGGATGACTGCGTAAATCCGCCTTAACATTCTAGTGTTTTACGGACATGTTTGTAGCCAGAAGCTCGTCTGCGTAATGTTCAAATATTTATGGAACCCGAAGGTTCATTACCAGGTTCACAAGAGCCCTTCACTGGTCCCTATCCTGAGACAGAGCAATCCAATCCATACCAGCCCATCCTATCTCTCTAAGATCCATTTTAATATTGTCCATCCACCTACGTCTTGGTCTTCCTTCCGACTTTCCCACCAATATCCTATATTCATTCCAAGCAGATCACCGCTCTCATTTTTCACAAAGTTCTAGGTTGGGGACCACTCTTAAAATTATTTGTTCCTCTATACAGGTCTCTAATGCTCTTGCTTCTACTGTTCATTGCAAGCTCATCAATTTTGTCTTTCAGATATTCCCCCTTCTTATTCCTGAAATGCCTGCTGGTTTCATATCTTACATTGTTCAGATTATCCTCAATTAACTCGCTTGGATCCTGTAACCATTTCAATTTGGCTTGTTTTTTATGGTCTAATAATTCTGAGCATCCTTCATCGAACCATGGCTTATGTTTCTTCAGTTCACAATAACCTACACTCTCTTTGGCTGACATTTTGATATTCTCTCTAATAGTTTCCCAAGTTTTATTAACATCCACCTCAGTGTCTAAGCTTTCCAAAGCCGCGAACCTATTTGAGATTTCAACACAATACTGCTCTTTACCTTCTACCTCATTTAATTTCTTGAGATAGAACCTCTCCATATGAACTCTGTGCGTTGTTTGTTTGCTCACTGCCAGTCTTTCCCTAACCTTTGCCACGACCAGGTAGTGGTTAGTATCACAATCTGCTGTCCTGAATGATCGGACATCAAGTATACTTGAATGCCGTCTCCTATCTATCAAAATATGGTCTATTTGATTGTGTATCTTCCCATCATCAGATGTCCAAGCAAATTTATGGATGTTACGATGTGAGAACATTATACTTTTGACAGTAAGAGTTTTTGATGTGGCAAAGTTTACTACTCTAACTCCATTATCATTACTAATTTCATGCAAACTCTCATTCCAAATTGCTGGTTAGAAAATGTCTTCCTCCCTACTTTGGCACTGAAATCTCCTAGCAAAATTTTCGTAG